GTCAGATCAGCTGCGGCATTAGATTCTCAGAGGAGCGCGAACCCTACTGTGAACTGCGCATGCGAGGGATCTAGGTTGCGTGCTCCTTATGAGAATCTAATGCCTGATGACCTGAGGCGGAGCTGAGGTGCTGATGCTAGCGCTGGGGAGCGGCTGCAAATGCAGATCATCATTAGCAGAGGTTTGACTGCACAGAGACCATAATAAATCAATTGCTTGCAGACTCATTTCAAAACCCTATCAGTGAGTGGCAAGTGAAAACAAGCTCCCACTGACTCTGCATTATGGTGAGTTGTATAATTATTTCATTATATATCACAATGTAATAATAACAGAAATAACAATAAAGTAGAAATAAATAATAGAAATAATAATAAAATGCACAATAAATGTACTGTGCTTGAATCATCCCGAAACCATCCCCCCACTCCCCAACCCCTGGTCCGGGGAAAAACTTCCTTCCACAAAACCGGTCCCTGGTGCCAAAAAGGTTGGGGACCGCTGCTCTGCGAGATGTCTAAAATAACAGCATAAAAAAGAAACATATTCTTTTATCTATAAAGGAAATGATGTTATCTGGCAATCTGCTCTCCAGAAAACTCTAGAAAGTCAATATTCAATAAGTATTAATTGAATGCCTGTTATTGCCAGACAAGACAGAGTGACTTTTCGTGTTAGTTTACACTGCTCCTTGTTGACTTAAGACTAATAAAGTAGATTTAAAGACAAAGAATATTCCTGGAAAATAAAGAGGGATATCTCATAATGACAGGGAGGTCAGTTTATCAAGAGTATACAACAATCAAAAATGGGTGTGCAAATAATAACAGAGCTTCAAAATACATGAAGCAAAAATTGAGAATTCAAAGGACAAATAGAATAATTCCAATTATACCTGGAGATTTTAATACTCCTCTCTCAGCATTTAATAGACTGCCCCCCACCCCCCTGCCAATTTTTAGTAAAGTCATAGGAGATCTGAACAACCCTGTCAGCCACCTGGACCTATCAATATTTACAGAAGACTGTGTGCAATAACTAAAGAATATCATTCTTTTCAAGAGCTCATGGTAAGTTCACCAAGATGATCATTTTCTGGGCCATAAAGCATAAGTCTGAGAAATGGTTACATCTAGTAAGGCTCATACTTTGCTGGTACACATGGTGTTTTCAAAAATTTTTACACAAAAAACATTATTTATGTTCTTAAGTTTGCTAAGGCAAATCATCAACTTCAAAAGCTTGAAATTTTGTTAAGAAAATCTGTTCTCTGTAGAATTAGCAAGTAAAGTGGATTAGCAAGTCAAGACTTGGGCAATGTTTAGGGATCACTCATGCATTTCTTTAGGTAAAACCTTTATGATATAATTATATTCACAGCACATTTTAGAAAACTTGAAATACTCTACCACAGAAGCTCCAGCTGTGGCCAGCTAATTGCAACTGCACTTTGTTAAGCCAACGACTGTTAATATTTTAGTGCAGTAAGACCAATAGTGCAATAATTAAAAAAAAATTGGTAGCATCTGAACACCTGTTAGGAGTTAGATTCTATTGTGGGAGAAGAGAGAGGAGAACGGAGACTCAGGAACAAGGCCATGTGAAGGTGGCTCATTTCTCAGTCTCCTGGTGAGGTTACCTATGGGCCGTGTTTCCTATGACACCAGCGGGGCTGGGCTTCCTGCTGAGGCCTGCACAGAAGCTCCTGTGTTCTGCCGGAACAGACAAGGCAGCTTCACACTGGCGGAGGAGCCTGCTGAACTGCATTCAGCTCCTGCGTGGCCCCAACAGGCTCCACGATGCCCAGCTCCACCGCCCCCCCCCCCAGCGCGTAGTGTAGATAAAGAGAATAGCACACGGACTTGCTCAGCTGCAGCTCTGTCTGGCGTGCGGGGTTCAAAGAGCTTTTTTTTAATTGGAGTATAATTGCTTTACAAGGTTGCGTTAGTTTCTGCTGCACAGCGAAGTGAATCAGCTTTAGGTATACACATATCCCCTCCCCCTTGGGCCTCCCTCCCACGCCCGCCATCCCACCCATCTAGGTCCCCAGTGAGCACCAAGCTGCGCTCCCTGTGCTATACGGCAGGTTCCCACTGGCTATCTGTTTTACACATGGTAGTGCATTTATGTCAAACCTAATCTCCCAATTCATCCCACACCCCTTTCCCCACCCACTGTGTCCACACGCCCGTCCTCTACTTCTGTGCAGATGGACCTAGAGTCTGTCATACAGAGTGAAGTAAGTCAGAAAGAGAAAAGCAAATACTGTATATTAATGCACGTATGTGGAATCTAGAAAAATGGTACGGATGAACCTCTCTGCAGGGCAGGAACAGAGACCCAAAGAGCTCTGTGGTTGGCAGCACGCATCTCAGCTTCTTTCACAGCCTCGGGATAAAGCCACATGGAAAGTTTCCCGTCTTCACAGTGCACGCCTCTCTCCACAACTTACCTCATTGTTCTCCTCGGCTGTGTTTGCAGCGAGAGGTCTACACGACCCTCATCATTTTAAGGAGGGTGACACCAAGACACAGACTCTTCAGGAAGAAACAACTCCAGAAGAGTGAGATCGCCAATAAGCACGGGCAGTGAATCCAGGGGTGCAAGGCCACCAATACGTGTGAACTTACTCATCATAATTATTATTTTTTCTAAGAAAAGGATTTCCTCAGTCAAACCTCCAGGGCATGGGATCAAAGAGAGATACTGACACAGCTGGACTATATTTTCTAGCCAATTGGCCTGGAAGGGAGAATCTAGACAGTGTCCTGGCAACCGTTTAACACGGCAGCAATCCATAAAAGAGGGAAAAAGAACTCTGGAGACCGACCTTTTAAAAAGCCTTCTTTTGCTTCTTTATTTCTCTTTATTTATAAGGACAGTTTGGGGGTAATATCCAAGCTCTAGGGGTTGTCCAGGGTAGGCACTCTGGAAGAATTACTGACCCTGAGAATGCAGAGCATTCTTCTATAGACAGAAACTAAAGGTTTTAGTCCACAGTACAGGTTTTTTGTTTTTTTTTTTAAGACTATATACTTTAACTTATCATAAAAAGTATATCCCAAACCTACTGGCAGAGTATCTGATCAATTTTCTATTTCCAGTTTGATGTAAGTCACTATAAACCTTACCAGGACACTGTAATATCATGCTAGACAGAGTAGTTTATAAATAAAATAACAACAGGAGAAATTTATCAATAGTTACATGCCCTGGAAGTTCTCCCAAAAATGCATAAAAGAAATTATAAAAGTGACTATTAACACACAACAAGAAAAAAAAGCCAAAACCCCAAAGCCCACTATGTCAGAAGCATAGCAATACACACAGGAATCAGGTGAGATGAGAAGGCAGAGAGCACACCAAGGATTTAGTGAGTTACAGAGAAACAAGCGTGAGATGATCGTGTGAAAAAAAGTGACGGCAAACAAACAGCACGCATGTCTGTAGTTAAGGAGAGCCTTTCTCACCGTGCTGAACAAATGGCTGCCCTAGGAGCACGTGGACGGCTATGCCCATATGCCCTCCTCCTCGTCCTACGGGACGGCAGAGACCCCAGAGCAGCGTGGGAACGAAAAGAGCTGGTTAGTATTCAAAACAGAGACACAAGCACACTGTAGCAGCAGCAAACAGTCTCTAACCTCCTGACCCTTTTTACATGAGGCTCTGACTCGTAATTAGTTTGTCACTGTACTTCCAGCCTTCCGACCTCTCCGAGACGCTCTCTCTATCCACTGCTGGATCTGGGCAACATTATCAAGTGAGAGGCTTTTCTTTATTTTTTGCCTCTTCCTCAACCTTTCCCCATTCCTGTTTGCCTCCCACTACTGCGAGGTATCCAATTCCTTGTATGTATGAGTGAAACCTGTTTCAAGGAAAGGATCTAGTACTCGTCTTACACACACTGGCATAAACTTAATGCCAGGTATCAAGAAGCAGGCAGAACAAGCAAAGTGATGTCTGGCAGAGGGACAGACTGCTGACATCAGGCAGACGGCTCTCCATTCTGCCTGCGTCAAAGATTGTACTGCTTTCCCTCTAAAATATAAGGCCTGCCGCAACTGGATAGGAAATGTCATCAAACCATGACTATACCTTCCGAATCTTAGAACAAAATTGCATTTTCGATATTATTGCTGCTTTCACCTGCAATATTTCTTTTTCTTCTCCTAAGACAAAGCTATGCTATCGTTTGGAGGAGACGCTCAGTGGGGGAGTTTTCCTTGACTCTTCAGTCATATGGATGTAATTACTTAACTATTATTTTTCTCCCTCAGCCGTATATTTTAAGATTGAGTGTGATGGAGATGTTGAAATCTGACTTTTGGCAATGGGATATGAGGTAATCTGTTCACTACTCTCCCCCATCCATCATATTCAAGATCTTGGGAGAGTTTCTTTCTTCCAAAAAAACTGGCATTGACTATGGTTCCCCTTCAGGCTGACTCATCACTGCCTCTTTTGCATTGATGAGAAATTGAAGGCAACAATTTAAGAATGACATAGATGGAGGGATCCACCAAGGAAATGGGAGCGAAGAACTAAGTTTCAATCTTCACGTCGACTAGGTGATGAGCAGAGATCTTAAAATTTGCAGTTAAATAATATTCAATAGTTATTACCGTTACGTTGCACTGTGTGTGCCTCACTGAGCTTACAAGGAGAGTTTTGTTTTTCTGCTGAGGCAGGACAGTTTCTTAAATAAGAAAAGCAGGACAGTTACAAATTAGTGAGTATCTCTGAGAAGATTAAATTTTTTTCTCATCTCAAGGATTCTTTAGTGTCCTCAAATCTGCTGAGTATCTCCTCTTAAAATATTCAGAATCATGTACCACCTTCCTCTACAGAAACTGACTCTGTGTTAAAAAAAAGAAAAAGTTTTCAGAAACTGATTATTTTTATTTTTCTAACTCGTACCCCAGAATCTGTAATGTGCTAGTACAAAATATATCAAAATAAAAGCATACTGGTTTTCACAAGACAATCAAAAGCAGTCTTACCTGGTCTGGGGAGGGTTTATGATTGGTTTGACTGGAATGGGAGGATCTGAAGTGGTCGTCCTCATAATTGTCGGCCATGAGCTTCATCCGATTTTGTGTCTAAGAGGAAACGATGCATAAGGTTAAATTTAGGTAAAATTTCTGTGACACACTGCAAAGTAACAAGTGCCTTAAGAATGTCCTAAGAAAGGATAAAACGAATCCTGTCCAAAATAAAGTAAGTTAAACATAGGATTTCTGAGGATATTGGGGGAAGAAAGTTTAGACACTATTATGGACTGAACTGGGTCCCCTCAAAATTCATGTTGAGGCCCTGACCCCCAAGCCGACTGTGTCTGCAGACAGCCTTTAGGAGATAAATTAGGGTTCAGTGAGGTCATAAGGTGGGGCCCTAATCTGATGGGACTGCGGCCCTGTAAGAAGAGGAAGCGGGAGATGAGTCCCCCTGCCGCGTGGGGACATGGTGAGGAGGAGGCCTCCGTGAGCCAGGAAGAGGGCTCTTCCAGGAACCAAGGCAGCTGGCACCTTGATCTGGGACTTCCCAGCCTCCGGAATGGTGAGAAAATAAATTTCTGTTGTTTAAGTCACTCAGTCTATGGTACTTTGTTATGGCAGCCCGAGCAGGCTAAGACAAGCACCTAAATTTCCACAGGAATTCTGGAGGGAGGAGTAACCTCCCTAAATTAAGCACTTTATTGCAGTGCTTGTTTTTATTTTTTAAAATAAGGATTGGATTATACTACATATAGGATAGAACTCTGCTAACTCTATTTTTTCACTTCATGATATCAATATATAGGACCCATCTTTCCAGGTTACCATAAAATTACTCACCCTTTTTAACAACTATTCCATTTGCGGGGGGGGATGTTGTATAACATACAGACCATAAATATTGGGGGAAAAGTTATCATTATCTGTAAATGAAATCATTATATACCTAGAAAATCCAAGAGAATCAATTGAAAAATGATTACAATTTACAATAAAGTTCAGCAAGGTGACCAGACAGAAGCTATATATTAAAATTCAATAGCTTTTCTTTACACCACCAGTAAACAATTCAGGTTTTGGAAATGAATTGAAGATTCTGAAATCCTTCTCTTCAACCCTAGACCAGAAGAGGATTATTATCCCACTGCCTCTTCTCCATGTTCACCAAAATGGAGGACTGGATTGGTAATTCTATGTGCTTGGTTAATTTAAAACCCAGGTGAATGTAATATATATATATGTATAAAACATTTTAGAGAATTCCCTTTGCAAAGCAAGCAATTTAGAAAATGCACGGTACAAACACTATGCATAAAATCAAACAGCAATATTGTTAAAACCTGAAGTTTTAAAAGCATTAAAAATACATTTGTTAACATTATATGATTCAAAAATGTTCACTGTAGATAATCTAAAACACAAAAAGAAAAAAGAAAAATTACCTGTAAATCCCTCTAACCAGTGATAATCATTGTTAATATTTAGGTGCACCTGTTCAGCCTCTTCACTATGAACATAAAAAGTAGCATGCTTTTCCGATTTATTCTCTATTTCTGCTATGATATGGTATTTTTTAAATTGCTATATCTTATGGTATATTTTGATACCTGGTAGAACATGTTGTCCTTCTCTACCAATTCTGCTTTGTCAAAATCTGATTGACACATTTTCTTTTCTAGATGAATTTAAAACATTTTGTCTAGATCCATAAAAAAGTTTAGAGAGATTCTTCTTCGGTATTTTTTCACATAATGATGCCTGAGCAAGGGTAGGGCCCAAGTGCCTGGGCCTGAATTCTAGTTCTGCCTCTTACCAGCTAGCTCAGCTGGGGCAAGCTACTCGGAGCCTCAATTTCCTCACCTTTAAAATGAGAACAATACCTTCTCCCCATAAGACTGTTGTTAGGATTAACCGAGGTAATACAAGCTCTTAGAAAGGTGCCTGGCGTACAATCGACACCCAATAAATTTCAGCTGTCACCATCGTTATGAACATTTCTTTTCATGGCATTACGTATCACTCTAAAACCTAATTTTAACTGGCTGCATGGTATTCAGTTGAATAGATGTTTAACAAGTCCCATATTGCCGGGCATTTGGGCTCTTTACATTTTCCCCTAGTAATATATGAACATTTCTAAGCCAGTTCCTCCCTCCAGGATATAATGACAGCAGAAAAAATACTTATCAAGAAATTGTCTGTGATATCAAACTTCTCTTTTCTGAGATGACTTAGAGGGACCTTGAAAATATGTAGGGCACTCTTTCTTATGTCAAGCCGTACTTATGACAAATGGAGAGTCGTCTGCAAGGCAGCTCTGGGGAAGCATGAGGGAGAGAGCAAAGGGCAAAGGGGCGCACCGGAAAGTGACAACATGCTGCACCTCACTCACTTTCACGTGGGTAAGAAACACTTCCCCGGGGACTTTAACAGGACCCTGCAGCAAAAGTACACGTGGATAGTTATTATCTTAGAGCATGACACGCAGTCTTAACGCCTGATACCGAGTGTGAGTTTAAAATCTTAGAGAAGAACTAATAAAGCACATGCAAATCCACTTTCAAGGCAGGATGTATCTCAAGTATTCCTCAGGAATGAGAATGAAGGCCTCGCACAAGAACTGATCACAGGAGACAGATAAGACCACAGGTTACTTATTTGATCCATGTAAGCGAATGAAGAAATAGCCCTAAGAGGGTCTCCATTTCTGAAAGACATGAGGTTTATCAAAGTTAACTAGTGTTCCCAGGTCAAATATTCATTAATTTGGTGTGAAGTCTGTTTCCTGCACAGTCAGAAGTTGAGCACTAAGTATCGGACAGCTCGCAGCGCAGTAGATATTATACAGACCATATAAACGACACTCTGCTCAAGAATCTCTTGTTCTACGCTCTTCTTAAGACTAAGACCAGCAAGCATGGAAGGTACTTTATACCCAAATATTTTCCCTCTTGAACCATGCCACGTGCATGTGCAGAGAGCCGAACTCCCATGGTCCCACGACATGAAGAATAAAGTTGTTTGAAGGAAGGAAGGAGAAAAAAAAAAAAAGGACAGGAGGAAACTTGCTGAGATAAACTTTTTAAGCTGTAAACGCATATCTGTGTATATAGGTATACATACCCTCCCAGAGGAAAGGTTCATCGTTTATTCTGTTAATCTTTTCTTTTAGGACTAAGATGTCAATGCTCAAAAAAGGTGGTACAGAAACTATATGTTTCACAGAAAAATACTTAGTTAGGCTAAGAAACAGTACATGTTGGTTATTCAAACCCAGGTATTAAAAGGTTGGAATTCTGATCAGAGTTACCTGGTTGTTCACTAATCTTTCCTTTCTGGTTTCTGATAACGCTATTAACCTACCTAAATGAGTTTTAGAAAAACTACTACTTAGAAATATTCTGAGATATTTTAGAAAACATATCATAAATAAGTCTTAACCTAACTAGCATTATTTCCAATTATAATTATCTTTAAGAAAGCATTAAGGGCTTCCCTGGTGGCGCAGTGGTTGAGAGTCCGCCTGCCGATGCAGGGGACACGGGTTCGTGCCCCAGTCTGGGAAGATCCCACATGCCGCGGAGCGGCTGGGCCCGTGAGCCATGGCCGCTGAGCCTGCGCATCCGGAGCCTGTGCTCCGCAACGGGAGGGGCCAGAGCAGAGAGGGGCCCGGGCAACAAAAAAAAAAAAAAAAAAAAAAAAAAAGAAAGCATTAAAATTATTTCTGCCTACATTTGTTAAACTTTAGAAATCATTTTACTATAGTGAATTTTAATTAAACTTTAATTTGCTATTTTGGTATTTGATATACAAAATGAGAAAAGCATAATCTTCATCGTTTTCAGGTGGGTTGGACTCTGTTGGTTATAAACTTAGCAAAATTTCAACAAATTACCTATGAGCTTTATTTTAAACTTCATTTCATGAAAAAGTATAAGTAGTCATTAATTATTCTATTTTTTAGTTGTTTTTTTGTTTTTTTTTGTTTTTTTTTTTTGCGTAACGTGGGCCTCTCACTGTTGTGGCCTCTCCCGTTGTGGAGCACAGGCTCCGGATGCGCAGACTCAGCGGCCACGGCTCACGGGCCCAGCCGCTCCGCGGCATGTGGGATCTTCCCGGACCGGGGCACGAACCCGTGTCCCCTGCATCGGCAGGCGGACTCTCAACCACTGCGCCACCAGGGGAGCCCCATTAATTATTCTTGAGTTGTTCATTTTATACACACTTGACTGAAGATTATCCTTCTAGCTGGGAAAGCTCCTTTTCCACTGGTTGGACAACTTTGGGGGGACTCCCGTGAAGCAGTGTGGTAGGCAGGGGATGGCAACTAGACTAGAGGAGACAACTGTGCTGAATTTAGCCCGACAGCAGTCATGGTCAGACTACCTTCACATCCTATTTATTTTCTCAGCTGGAGTGCAAGGTCTAATAGAAAAGTGTGCTTCCTACTGACTTTGTTTTGCTTTTTAAAGAAATCAGTTAGATAGTTTAATTTTGGTCCTGATTAGGACCAAAATGTGGAGGGAATAACCATCCTGTGCATTCTGTGTACGGTAGCAGACTTTCTGTGTCCTTCTGACATGACATTACTCTTGCGTTCCGGCAAACATGCGCTAAGCTCGTCTTGTACATTTCTTGCCCCAGATCTGGAATCAGCTGGTTTACCAAAGAGCTCATTCATTCAGTGGGACAGGAGCGGGTGCTGGGTGCTCAGTGCTGCTGGATTACTGCTTTCTGGTTGTTTCAGTTGAGAGGTAGGAAAAACTTTCTTTCTTATTAAGAGGGAGAAAATTATAAATCAACAGTGATATTTTCAATTTAGATTTAAGATTCTAGGTCTGCATCTTAAAGAATAAGTTCTTACTTAACTTCTTTGATTTTATACTTTATATATCTTTTTTCCTCTTATGCTGAAAAACCTTGGTTCCTAACAATAATGACATAATTACTTTTTATTTGTTTTATCCATCAATTTAATTCTTTGAAAATACCAATACCAACGTAATCACTATCAATATGCCTTCAGAATGAACTTTAAAATTTCTCTGCATTCTATTTTCTTCTCATTGGAGTATATCTTACTGAGAATGTACAGAGAAAAATCT